GGCATATAACGTTGCTAAAACCTCCAATGGAAGGATCTAACCAATTTGCTTAGCTAAATCCAGGTGGTGACTTTTTTTTTGGACAGGAAGTATATATATATATATTTTTTTTTTATATATAGGTATATATTTATACTTTGTATCTATATATACATGCATACATGCATACACACACATCCACAGTGTACACAGTGTATTAAGTATTTAAAGTGATAGCACACAATGCAGTACAGACACAAACCCCCCAAAACATAAATAGGCTAAACTGTCCTAATTACACCCAACAAACTCTCTAAATGTCATACACATTTTTCTCTATTCAGGCCAATAAGTGAAACTAAGGGTTTACTGTTCAGCAGTAATGTTAGTGAATGTCCCATGTGGATACAAGCAGATCTTTCTGAATGAAAACATTATATTGCCGCTTGACAATCCCAACAAAGCTGATGTTACTTTTTTTTTTTTTTACAATTAAAATAAAACGACTAACTAAAGCTCAACAGAAGAGTCATTTGTATAGAAATTGTGTTTGCGTTGCACACTTTGTGGGGTAATTGATAAAATCAGCCTTGTCCGGTTCATTTGAAAAACGACGCTGCCCAACCAAATGTAATACAGAAAAGAAAATAGTTGACTGGGCAATTGTTTCGGTGACTGGGTCCAGCCTAGCAAAGGTGACTGACCAGAAAGTTATAATGCGTGCAGTAAAATAGACATTTTCTGCTGCTTCAGCTTTTTCTTTAATGTATCTTGATGGTTGTTTTATCATAAGGAAAGCTGACTTTTTTTTTTCAGTGTGTTGCACAGAAGGATGTGAACACCATCTACTGCTGTCAATTAAAGGCACACCGCTGCCAAAATGCTTTCCTCCACCCTCAACTGCTAATCTGGATAGTGCAGAGGATACGAAATGTGATGAAATTAGGGCTGTTGCTGATTAAAATTTTCGTGTTCGATTAATCGAAATTATTTTTACATTTGATTAATTTCGATTAATTATAACGCACATACAGATCCAACTACATTGGCCTATACACATACAGCACAGCAATGAAGTAATAAAATGAACTAGGATCACACAAATCCAGCACGTTATTAATCTCACGTGCCCCACTCAATATGGCCGCCGCTTGAGTGGGGCAACTCAGAATAATAACGTGCTAGATTAGTGCGATCCTAGTTCATTTTATTACTTCATTGCTGTGCTGTATGTGTATAGGCCAATGCCTTGGCTGGCGCTCATGCAGAAAGATTCAAAAAAAATGTAATCGATCAAAAAGATTAACGATTAATCGAGAAATTAATCGTTAATTTGCACAGCCCTAGATGAAATATTTACCTTTATGCCTAAAAAGTCACGCAGGGCTATAAACAGATGCTTTTAGAATGGTTTTACGGAGGTAGTGTGTGAGTTACCACAATACACAGGCGTTACCTGTGCCAGCGGGATGTGGTGCCTTTCATTCCTAATGGCACTTCAATGCATTTTACTAACACACCTATGTTCCATGCACCACAATGCATGGTAAAATTACATCATCTCATGGTGCATTGACTTCAATTCAAATGAATGAGCTGTCTTAACGCAATGCAGGCTGACGTACAGAGTGCGAACCGTTTAGGGCACCACGACAGTGTGAACCCATCCTTAAAGGAATACGTTTGCCTATAGTGTTAACAGGGATTGATGGCCTGGGAATTATTGCTCTAACTCTGATGTTCGCAGTGATATGTAACATGTGTGGTGCAATCATCGTTTCTGTGCGAAGGCACACCCACGAGTGTTTGCATTTGTATATGTATGTACTGGGGGGCGGGAGACGTTGATTATTTTATTTTTATGGGGCTTACAAGCCCCCTATGTGAAAGCAAAGAGGATGCGGCAGGGCCTCTTTATGGAGACATCAGGGGTCTAATAGATCCCTAATGTTACCTATAGAGCCACCTATGGAGCAGCCTGAGAAATAAGTCTAAAACCGGAAGCCATTAGAAGTGTGCTGATCTACCTCCAATTGAAGTGCACAGACCCACTGTGCCGGTTCTGGGCCTGCACAGGGGACAGCGGAGCCTGAGATAGCCTGCAGTGGAGGGTGGGGGGGGGAACACACACTCCCCAGCTTCATATAAGCTAACAGGTGCCTCTAGCAGCCCAAACCCTTGTATGTGACAGCCAGGTGCTAGCTCTAAAAAATGATAAGAACCGCTTTAGGTTACCGCTGTTTATACATGTATTGCAGCCCTGAAGAAGTTAATTTGGTTAGTTGGAAAACGTTCCCATTTCAATCTGCAGATGCAACAATTTTTAAAATTTGTTAAAAGAGGTAAAATCGCACAGAATGAGTTTTGGTTGTGGTGAGATGCGCTCTATGCCTTGTTCATTTTACAGGGATGTAGACACTGCAGCTTTTCTCATTACAGCACTGAGATCACAATAAGTTGACATGGTAAAACCAACATCAACAGTAAGATAGAACTTTGATGGTTTTCCTGGTTTGAACCAAATACATTGACAATGGTAACTGATCAAAAATGTGATCAACTTAACAAAATACCCCAGAGTTGGGCAATAAGGAAGTATGGGAACTGCAATGACTGTAGTTACAAAGTTGGGATTTCAGGAAGTATGAGAACTGCAATGGTTGTAGTCACAGAGTTGGAATTTAAGGAGGATGAAAACAGCAATGGCTGTAGTCACAGAGTTGGGGTTTAAGGAAGTATTGAAAATACAATGGCTTTAATCACAAAGTTGGTATTTCAGGAAGTATGGAAACTGCAGTGGCAGTAGCCACAGAGTTGGGATTTTAAGGAAGTATGGAAACTTCAATGGTTTTAGTTCTTTCTATGGCAATGACTTGGAACAGTTATGGCTTTGCTCTTTCTAATCAGCATAATTGTCCTGCATCAGTGGTGTGGAAAGTTTTGACACCAAAAGACAGCCAGTCAACTAGGTTTTCTAGTGGAAGGGCAGTTACCAAGAGAGAGAACGGGGTGAAATATATCTGCAAGCACAGTAAAACAAAACCTTTTAAATTATTTTATCCAATTTGTCTCCTGTTGCTTCTTTTTTTCCTTGTGGATACAGCACTGTCTATTTTCATTTACCGTTCTGTTATTTTAACGATTATTTTGTTAGAAATAGCAATATGAAATGATGACTCCTCTCTGACTGCAGAGAAATGTACATTACAGTCACCAAAGCAATAAAATTCCATTTCATGTCAAGAATTAATTTACGGATATTCCCAATGTACGGAAATTAGTGGGCATATGGTGACAGCAAAACTGACATATGGCCATTGTTATTTAGTTTTATTGCATTAAAATAATATAATTTAAAAGTTATTGGTGCATGTGAGCAAAACATATGTGCTGCAATTAGCGGCAGCGCTCGTTAGAGGACTTTTGTATATGTTTGTCATGACTTTCTTATGTCTGCAGAGAACTCGACTTCCTGCTAATTTTACTTTTGGCTCAATTGGAGCTGATTGCCATTCATGGGGAAATGATTATAAAAGTGTGATATCTTTAATATGTTGTGTGCTTTCTTCATAGCTTGTTTCATTTATTTCAACCACTTTCTAATCTCCATTGAATGTTCAGTTAAAGTGTATGTCAGAGCAAAAATAAAATAATATTCAATAGATGCCCACCCCAGGGATCACAACCTGAAAAAAGTATTCAGGGGGAGGAGTGCAACCCCCCCCCCCCCCCTTGAAATGATGGCAGATAGCAAAGAAGCTATTGCTTCTATTGCTGTCTGCTGTTTTTTTTTAGTATTCTGACAGCTGCTGAGCTCAGAATAAAAAAAAAAAAGCATAGGAATGAATAGCTGGATTGCTATTGGCTATTTACATTTGCAATAGTCAATAGCAAGCTGCCTATTGCACCCACCCTCCTGCTGCTGTCAATCAGCAGAGCAAGGACCTGATGGAGAACTTCAGGTCCAACTCTGCTGATTGACAGCAGCAGTGGGTGGGTGCAATAGCTAGTCTGCTATTGGCTATTGCAAATTCAAATAGCCAATAGCAATCTAGCTATTTATTTCTATGCTGTCTTTTTTTCTTCACTCTGACGGCCGCCCCGATATCAGAGTACAAAAAAAACATACAGCGGTGAAAGTTTGTCTCTGCTAGATCGAGCAGAGTAAACCTTTCCGGGAGAAATTGTTTCTCTCCTGGGCTGACGGAATCCGCTAATAGAGGGAGACTCCCGGAGCGTCCGGGAGAGTCGGGATCTCTGACACCCCTTTAAAAATGCTGCAAGTACAAAAAAGAAAAGTCTGATATGCCAGAAATCATGTGACCTCCTAACTTCCTGTTTGGACTGGCAACACAATGCCTTTGCTATACTGAAATCGTAGGCAGCTTTGTCATCCTTGCCTAAGATAGAACTCCCTTAATAGACTATAGAACCTCCAGTCCTTGCCCCTTTCTGTCCCTCTCCACATGAATACTCAAGGCAGCAAAACAATACTTCTTTCTTGAGTCCCAAGAGCCCACCCCTCACAATGTTTGTAAGAAAAAGGTTATTGGAAGATGTAGTTCTGGGGTCATTTAGACCCCCGTGCTGAGAAGCTGTCTCTTTAAGAATTTTACAAGCCTGGTGATGATGTCACAGGGAGTGACAAAAGCTAATTTTCACTACAGGAACAATATAAATGAAAGTAAAAATGCTGGGATCAAAAAAGACACGTTCCTTGTTAGGGTTTACATACACTTTAAAGGAGGAGTATGAGGTGAGTGATTTCCACGCATCCTCATAGTTAGAGCCGACCTGTGACAAAGAAGCTGTCACAGGTCGGCTCTATCGATCGGGAGTGTGCAGAAACATGCCGCCGATCTGCTCACTTCCCGATCATCTTCTGTCCTTAAGCCCAACTTCAGCCAAACTTTGAAGAAAGATTTCCCGGCATTTCATTTGGTGATCCTACATGGCCTGTGTAGATGCAAATAGCGCTCAACGGAATATTTCTTTAACTTGCACAAAATATTATTTTGCAGATGACAACGAATGCCAAAACGCCACCTACATCTGCGGAGACAACGCCAACTGCACGAACACCAATGGAAGCTATTACTGCTTGTGTGTCCCGGGCTATGTTTCAAGCGGCCTTGAGAGATTTATGACCAACGATGGGACGTACTGCCAGGGTAAGTGGCTTTGCATGGCTCATAATTTACCTGCACGCTTGTCCTCTCTAATCCATATTCCAGCCAATCAATTATTCATCTGAGTTATTATGATTATTAATATTGTCTGTTCCGGTTTTATGTTTGCACTCCGGGAACAAATAGACGCAGGGGATCTATTACTCAAACTGTGCAATCCCTGTTATGGCGTTAACCACCATTCTCCTTTAACTATAAAAAAACACCTAAATGCAGCAAACACCAAAATCCATGGTCACATGATGTTTAGGTCCCCTGCGCCCAGAAACAGCACCAGCGAGGAACACAGACAGCGGACGGAGGTGAGTATAAAATGCTTCAGAAGGTTAGTAAAAAGTTGAATGACTGTGAGGGGGTAGTGGGGTGGGATAGGAGGTGGGTTACATTTTGGCTAGAGATTGGCTTTAAAGCCGTACTCAGGCCAAAGGGCTAATTGTACAGATCAAATGCAGATAAAGGAGCTGTTTTACGTGCTGACGGATCTGTAATACTGATAAGCTAGTTTTGTGATCCAGGAACCCCTGCCAGACAGCAGAGCCTGGTCCTGCACCTCCAATGAAACATCAGCACACCTTGGCTGAGAACACACCCACTGGCTGCTGATTGGGCAATGGTGGAACATCCATATAGTGATAAGTCAATGATCTGTTCTCTCTTCCTGTCAGCAGGTTTACTTTTAGCACATGTGCACTGCAGCAGATCCTCATTCACTCGTAGTGCTACCAACCTTCTTCTAGTCTGGTGCTGCTATACAGGGGATTGTGAACACTGATATTGAAACAAATTTTAAAGCTGAGCTCCAGGCACAAAAAATGTCATTTAAATGCATTCCTCAATAGCCACAATGAATATATAGCTACTCTGTGTGCACCAAATGCCTTCAAACTAAGATATTACCTTGTGAAAGTAGCAGCCACATTATCACTGTGCTGTACATGGCCTGTTCAGAGAGCAAAGCTAAGGGAGGGCTCCACCTACTACAAGGCTGCCTG